CCCACTCCTGCACTTGCAACTACCTTCAAGTTAGGCAAGCTCTGGAGCAGCTCTTCATTAATAGCTGGTTTGTGATACCACACATAGATAGCTCTGATCTTTTTGCTGAGAAGTGTCTTGTTTTCAAGATATTCTTTCATGGTGATGAGATGAAAATGTTTTTTCAGAAATCCAAGATGGTCTTCATATACTCCAAGCCTCCCTCCTATACAGTCAACTAGCACATAAGGCAGTTCCTGACTCTCCATGCCCTACAAAAGCAAAGAGAACCAAAAGGACATGATCTGAAGTGATCCATTATACCTTTTTTTCTAAAAACCAGGAATTGATTGGCTCAATTATATGCTGTTTTCCCACTTGATGAAGGATTTGGCTAAAGATAACCACTCACACATGCAGAAGTCTTTTAGCTTCTCCCTGTGTTATTCAGAAGGATGTTTAATTTCTATATAATCTTGTCAATAAGAAAACATTTCTGGCATACCAAGTATGCTAACACTTAAACAAATGAGTAACCAGCTGTTACTCCTGTTCAATGTTCAATATTTAAAGCCAAAGTCTTGATAATTTAAGAATGCAGCTGTGTGAGTGGAAAGGTATCTTTTAGCCTGCAAATTCTGCCACTTCTGCAATTATACTAAGCAATTATCATTGATGAGATTATCTCAGTAAAAATCTCATTTAATGTAACAGAGCTATAAATTGTCAACTATGAACTTTGGAGTTACCCATGAATGTAAATTTACCCTTTCTTTCTTCAGTCTCCTTCAGTGCTTTGCCAACTCTTCACTCTTCACTCTGCTGACTCTGCAAAGAGCCAAGGCTGTGATCTCAGACCTCTTCACGCCGCCCCTCATTGCGAGGGGCAATGCTCCCACACTGCTCCGGCACCGCCGGGCCAGCTCCCCCTTCTGTGCCCCGGCCACCCGCCCCCGAGCGCGGTGTCCCGGGAAGTTCTCCCTGCCCGGGGCGGGCGGAGCGCTTTCCGCTGTCCCGGCAGGACTAAAGATAGGAGGGAGCTGGAGCAGCGGCCGCGGGCTCTGTGCAGCCCTGAAGGACGGCTGGGAACGGGCGGGATGCCGCAGGACAGTGGGAGCCCCCGCGCCCCCACGCCCGGTGCTGCCCCCGGAGCCGCCCGCGGGGCCCGGGCCCTGTTCCCGCCCGGCAGAGGTGGGGTCCCGCGGTGCCGCTCGCACTCACCCCGCCGGCCGTGCCCGCCGCTCCCAGGCGCACCGCGGGGCGGAGCGGGAGCGGCCGCCGAGGCGGGCACTGCCCGGCTGCCCGCACCCCGCCCGGACAGCCTGCGGGGCCAGGGGGGAGGAGAGGCGGTGCCAGGGCACGGGACGGGTACCTCAATCCCTCGGAGAGAGGGCAAGGGGAGCTCACGAGTGATTGTGTGGTTTTATAGGAGTGTTTCTGTGCTGTTCGTGATTTCAATACAGTCGGGATTTTACGTTAATGTCCTGCACGCTGTGTTTTCCATACTGTCTTTGAAAACCGGACGTGGTCTGGCCTTTCTGCTGATCATTACACACTGTGCATATGAATTAACATAAGATGATGAGTCGTCTCTGACCAACCGACACCAGTGACAGCTCTCACTGTACAAATGAAGGTCTTTTCCAACCTATATGATTCTAGGAATACCCTAAAAATCTCTCTTTGAGACCTAAGCAGCTTGGGCAGGCTCAGGTGCTTGGACACCTGAGATGTTAGCTCAGCTACAGGCAGTCCTGTGCCAGCTTCAGCTGAGAATATGTGAGAATTTTTCTTACAAGGTTACTTGGTCTGTATCATAGAATCACAGAATGGTTTTGGTTGGAATGGACCTTAAAGCCCATCTATTTCCAAACCTCCTACCACAGGCAGGGACACCTTTCACTAGACCACATTGCTCGGAGCCCCATCCAACCTGGTCTTGAACATTGATAAGGGATGGGGCATCTACAACTTCTCTGCTCAACCTGTTCTGTTGCCTCATTATCCTCAAAGAGGACAATTTCTTCCTAATCTTCTCCGTTCTACTACCTAACCTAAACCTTCTCTCCTTCAATTGAAGGCCATTCCCCTTGTTCTGTCACTACTTGTGAAGAGTCCCTCTTCAGCTCTCTTGCAGTCCCCCTTTAGTTACTGTAAGGTTGCTATAGGGTCTCCTCTGAGCCTTCCTTTCTCCAGGCTGAACAACACCAATCCTCCCATTTTGTCTTCATAGTAGAGGTTCTCCAACCCTGTGATAACTTAGTGGCCTTCTCTGGACCCACTTCAATAGGTTCACATCTTTTTTGTGCTGAGGACCCCAGGGCTGGATGCAACATTCCAGGTGGGATCCCACAAGACCAGAATAGAGGGGAAGAACCACCTCCTTTGATCTCCATATCCAGTGATGGGCACTGGGAAGTACAGCTTCAGTTCTCAGTTCACAGAAGCTGTGCTGAAGTGATTCCCTTGGCTGTGCAGGTGGTTCTAATCCACTGGGGAGGATGCCTGGTTTCTGGGGTCACAGCAGCTCAGGAGCCAGGACATACCACTGCTAAGGGCATCCAGGAATCTTTCTGCTTCCACACTACGGAATAACCAGCCATAGGGGCTGCTGTGTCTCTCATGACTACTGTAGCGCTTTTCAAAATAATGGATTCTGTCAAATACACTTTGATATGTTGAACATGAAGACAGTCAAGTTTAACACCAATCCTCTATAAAATTGCTAATAAAAAATAAAATATAATAACAATATCAATTGCACTAAACCATAAACTGTTCTTGTTATCCTGGTGATGAATTTTGAGTATCAGTTGCTTACATTAATTTCAAGTTCAAACAGTTAAACTTTGAAGCAGAAATGAATTAACTAGTAACATGGAGTTATAGAACATTAACTGTATTCTTAGTTAAGTTTGCTTGCATTTTCTTCCTTTAAAAAAATACATAAAATGATTACACATTACTTCTTTCACATAAAAAGTTTCTGAACTGCATTAATGGTAAGATTGTAATGAGTAAGCTTTTAACTTACTGCTCACCTGAGATCAAAGGACCCTTGTAAAGTCCCTCTCAAAGACACAAGTCTGAGGAAGGAGGCCTACCACATTTTAGTCTTGAAGGTAAAGAAAAGCCTTTGGGAGGGCAACACAGTAGTGTTTACCTTTGTATATCAAATCCACAAATTTGAATGAACAAAATGAAGGAGGAATTAGACAGAGGAGCCAAAAAAATAACAGTCAAAGGAATGTTACTCCAAGCAAAAATCCAGGACATACGTATCAAATATCAAGAAAATGCGTGTGTTATGTGGTTATATGTGGAGAGAATCGGATGTTCTCAAAGCTGTTTCATGCAACTTGAACATCCAATTTTCAAGCTATAGGTCAGGAGCTGATACAGCTCTACAGAAATTATATCTGTTTAGCATCATATGTGAAAAGAAGTTGTCAATTGCACCAGTGCACTATCATGTTCTAAGTATATTTAGTTTGTAGACTACCTTACAGACCTCCATGTAGTGTGTTAAGCTGAATTTCACTGTGTGTACATCGTTGCTGTTTGCCAGTTTTCTCTTACAGAAAGAGATCTGATATACCAGCACTGCACAGAGCACTGAAATGAGTGAGGTCTGTGGGTATGTGAAGGGAAGTATTGCATAGTCTGTGGACTTCATCCCCATCATTAAATATTGCTGTTGGTATCCATGTAATCCTGCAGGGTGAGCTGATGCCTGCAGTGTTAACAAGGTGCTTGCATAATAGTTATTTCTAAGCTTTAGGCTTTGAAGTATTGAGTTACCATAAAAGACTTTTGTACAATGCAATGCATACATCTCTCAGGTGGGTTGTACAGAATAGCTTAAGCATGAAGCTGGATAAAGACATACATTTCCTATGTCTACATTAAGTTTTATAAAGCAGTATTTTATTACAGGCAAAAAAAGCTGAGGCAGGAAATCTTCAGGCAAGGTCAAACCAAGTAATGCATTTGTTTTCAGTGGTTATAAACTGTCATAAAGTGTTATTTGGTATCAGCCTGTCTAGCTGCTGTAGGTAAGGCCCGCTTTCCCAACAGAACTCTGTATCAGCACTTTATTCCAGATCACGTACTTTTTGCACATCAAAATATTTCAAAAAACCTGAATCAATGGAGTGAACTATAATGGATCATCTCTTCCCTCATGTGGCCACTGCATTTTTGCATCCACTTTCAGTAACCATGAAATTGAAGGTATTGTGTGTAAATCAACTCATCACTCCAGTGACTGACAGGAAGATGTGTCTTCCCTTCTAAAGCACCCCCTGGCAGGGAGCACTTCTGAAACTAATCAGCCCAGATTCTTGAAATATCTGCAGATGTAGGAGTAAAACTCCAAGCAAATGCCAAGCATGTACAATTGTTTAAGTAGATATGAAGTACTGTATCTGATTTTGTTTGCTTCTTCACTTGAGAAAAGTTTGCATGTGCACAAGCCTTGTGTGTTTTCTGCAGCTTTAGGATATTGTTCTAAGAAAAGGCATTTTTTTCCTCTTTTCTCTTTTATTGTACATAACCTTGTTTTTCAGCTCTGTAATTTATTGCTTAGCCTTTTATTTTTTAATAAATTTAACTTATTTTTTCAAGGTTATACATGTAACAATGAAATGTATACTGGGCACCTGTTCCTCAGAGAGCAGGGAGGCCCCTGGGGCAGTCTTGAAATTCTTGACAGCCAATTTGCTGTGCCTGAAAAGCTGCAATGTCTTGATTCCTTGAGCTGCAAAAGTGATGGGACAAAGTGTATTTTGGCCAGCACACCTGCAAGACAAAGGCTGTGTAATGCTTAAGGCTTCAGGCAAAATCCCGGTTGCACTTAATGGCAATTTTGCTACAAATTTTATGGATAAATAATACTATTCATAAAGGCATCCTAAATAACAAAAGGCATAGCACTGCCACTCTGGGTGTTTATTTGCCTTTTGGACTTAGTATTAGACAAGAGAAACTATATAAACACAACTGACACGATGGCAAACTGCTTCCTTCCAAGCTTTAGTGTGGTGTATGAACATTTGTATTTAACAAGATCTTTAGAGCTGATGTGAAGGGGAAAGATAAGAATAAAAAGACAAAGAGAAGAATAAAAAGATATGCAATATCCTTTCACATATCAGCTAGGGAGCACTTCACTGGGTAGGGGGAGACCATTCAGGGCTGCTAGTATGTTTTCAACTGCTTCCTCTGTTATCATGTAGGTGGCCTTGTCTGTTTTAATGCCGAGGTGAGGTGTTATAATGACGTTCTTTAATTTTAACAATGCATGATCTCTGGAAGGAAAGAAAAAAAGAGTTAACTATTGTTGTTCATCTAAATAAAGAGGAGTCTTACTTTAGCTTTTGCACAGTATTTAAATTTAATTTGATACAACTCTACAAGTCCCACTTAGCCCCAGAGAACCTTAGCACCTATATTGAAGTAATTTTGAACTGCAATAGGACAAGCAAAGACTTCATAAGTAGCTCTTCTCTCCAGAAACACACTTCTGCCATGAGGCAGTAATTTGAAATATGTCAGAAGAGAGGATTTAAGCCCTCCTGAACACATTTACCTTACACAATAGTCTGAGCTGTAGTTATTTGCACACAGACACAACAAGACCAAACTCCTCAAAACCCAAAATGCAGCCAGCACAGTTTACTCCAAAAGGCACCATCCTGGTAGAGCAGTCTTTTTAGAGAAGCTAAGCAGTCTCTAGGCCCAAGAGGTTTGCAGTACTTCAGCCTTGTATTGTGGAAAGAAGCCTGTGGAGAAGGACACCTCCTGCCTATGCAGCAGGTCGTAGGCCTCAAGCAGCTTCCACCCATTAAAACTGGCAAGCTGCACTTTCTAAAGCAATTTGCAAGTGAAGCGCTGCTGTAGCTTTAGGGGGTGATTCTAAGGACTGGGTTTAAATGCTTTCTCTGCTCCTGCTGTTTCCTGGCTCCCAGGCTTCCCTTTGGTCTGTTATCAGCCCCTGTGTCTGGGCTGCATCCCGTTCCCATTCATGGCATTTATATCCCAACTCATGCCAGAGGCAAGGGGGCCAGCTTCCTGCTTGCTGCAGGGATGCCTCTGGCCTCAGCAGGGTTCCCCCATCGTTCCCGAGGAATAAGCAGAGATGGCAACCTGGGCAGTGGCTCTGGGGAGGTGACATCCAAAGCCGCGGCCCTGATAACACCGGTCTGCAGAGCTGCCACCAGCGCCTCTTGGTCAACTACTGCACCTGGGGTGGAATGAGAGTGTCCCTGAGTGCACCTGGCAGGCAAAGAGCAGAGAGCAAAGAGAGAAGGGAAGGGGAGAGGGACGAATTTCCTGATCACCCTTGCCACATGCCCCAGCTGTGCTGGATGCAGCACGGTGCTGTGGGACACAGCAGGACTACGCTGTGAGGCCAGACAATGGATCTGGATGGTACCTCGGCTGATGTTAATGAGGGTAGCTGTGGGTTTCATCAGCTCCAGCTCTCTTTTCCCAATCAGCTTGTGTGTCTGAGGTGTCAGGCTCACCACCAGCATCACAAAATCCGCCTGCTGGAGTAAACTGTCTATCTTTTTGCAGTAAGTGGCACCGACAGCTTGCTCCTCTTGCACTTTCCTAGCGGGGAAAAAAGCATTTCAGTCAAGGAAACATTTTCTTCAATGATATCACCAGAATACAAAAAAAAGGATCTGATTATCACATCCATATAGCAAACAGGTGGCAAACAAAGGTGAATTTACCCTCAGCTCAGTCTTTAGATCCTTCTGGAGAGCTTCAAGCCCTACAGCACAGGATAGATTGCATGCCTGCCTGTCAGCCGCTTCAGTGCAGGATTCCAAGGGCTTCTTATGAAGTCTGCAAATGAACTAAGGCTGAGCACTGAAGCAGATGGCAGCTCACAGTCCATTCTCCAGGATCCCCTGTGTATCTCAAAGGATGCAATCACTGCTCAAACCAGAGGAGTGGTATTCACCAGAACTCACCCATGCATGCTCTGGGCATGGCAGTGGTCCTCATCCTGTTGGCACTCCCAGTAAGCCTGTCATTTTTTTATGAGTGAAATCAGCAAGGCAGCTCTTTGCCAGGCTCCTGGCCGCCCCAGGACATTCACAGAGTAAAATGTTCAGCAGAAAAAGTCAGCAGAGTAAAGAGATTTTTAGTTTTAACTTTTCACAGTGCAGAAGAATACTTGCCATTTCTTACATTCTTTGTAAATATAGCTGTCTGAACTTTGGGAAATGAAGAAGCAATGATAGGAGATCATGTGTACAATCACCTGCTTCTGGTTGCAAGAGAAGAGCTTTAAGTTATCTCCTCCCTAATCTAGAAATAAAGAGATCACACTAAGAAAACAACTTCAATTTAACTTTGACCCATGTCTCTCCTAACAACTGCACTTCACTGTTTTGTTTTTTTTTTTTTTTTCAGGCCAATGACCAGAAAGTAAGAGGGAAAAGAACAGAATGGAACTGCAGCCAGTTTTGCAGCATGCAGAGGGCACCTTGATTCAGCACACAAGCTGGAAGTGTAAATATACTTTAAATATACTTTAGGCTTTTAATTTCTGTTGCACTGTGTATTGATAATTCATCACAGCACTCTTACATAAATATTATTTTAAAGACTGAAGAATATTAAACAGAGGGAGTTGAGGATGATATACATTAAAAAAAAAAGAATAGAGGGATTTGTGTCTTTTTTTTTTTTTTTTTTTTTGTGGTTTGTGAAGAAATTCTGAAATATTTTAAGGAGTACTTTCTTTTAAATGTAAGTTTGCTTAGCTGTTTTTCTGAAGAAACAGGAATGCCAAGCATGGCTAAAAATTCCTGGCCTCATTCACCCTTGTGATTTGCCTACAGCTAGCTAAAGCAGTGACCCTCCTCCAGCAGTCTGCCTATGGTGAAAATCCCTGAAAGCCACATCCTACCACTGCAGCTTCTGCCTCCAGTCACAGAGGAGTAAAGTTCTCTCAGGGTAGGCCACAGTTTATAGCAGTAAATAATTGTTCTATTCATTATCTGCACCTTGCCGGATTGCAATGGCCTTGAGTGGCTCATGGGGGTCTTGCTCACTTCAAATTGAAGAGCCCCTGTGCTGAATGTCTAACAAGGTTCAGATTTCCAGATACACAAGCTAGGAGGGACTAGAAATAAAGGGTGAAATCGAGTTAAATACTTCCTAAAATTCCTACTGGCTTGAGAAAAAACCAAGATTTTCTTAAGAACAGCTCTCAGTCATATTTTGCCAAGTATATGCTTCCTAGTTTCCAGGCACTGTTTCCAAAATATCCCTTCTGAACTTCAAAATATGGGGAAAAAATGAACAACAAATAGAGTTATGTTGTCATTATAGTACAATGTGATAAGAATAAAAAAGCATAAGTTTGATTTCCATTTTTCTGCAGGAAACTTTGAAATTTCTAATATAAAACCTAAATTAAGTTTCCAAGTGTTTAATCACTGAGTAACTCTTTACAGGACTGATTTCAGACAACCATTCTTTTTTTTTTAATCTTGGCCCTATTCCCTCATTTCTTGCTATATTTCTGTCATAACTCCTTGAAAAAAAAATACTGACTATATGGAAGAGTTTGTGCTGCAATTAGAGTCAAGACATATCTTTACCTCCGTGTCCTGTTGTGGTACAAAACGTTCATTTCAAATGCTTTGGCTCTCACAGCAATCTTATACCCAATGCGGCCCATGCCAATGATCCCCAGAGTAGCTCCAGCAACTTTAACTCCCAGAATATCAGCTTCACAGTAGTCCATACTTGGAGAAATTGAAATGTTATGGACTGCAAGAAAAACACATAAATATGGGAAATGAATGGGGTCCAACAGGGAGGAACAAGGTAAAAGAGCCTGGACTTGTTGTGCTACTATAGCATACTTGCAATGGTTACAAATGTGATTTTTAATGTAATGTCCTAGGTAACACCCTAATGTATCATCATCGCTGCTACATTTATAGATGATAATCCAATTTATTCTCACCATATTACAAAAAGCCTTTTGATATAATCCCTCCAAAAATTTTATTACTGCCTTAAACTCATGAAAATATTGCCCTGTTCCTCATCAACAATCAAAATAATTATTGCCAATAACAATGCAGAGTTTGAAGATATCACATGGAGAACACCATCAGATATTGGGTTTCCTCTTCTGCCACTCTCCTTGGAAAGAAAAGTGAGACTTCTTTAAAAATCACAACTTGGTAATTTCTGTAATTACCTGTTAAACCTGCACAATTCTGGATAGTTCTACAACACATAAAATACAGTTATGTACACAGTGTCAGCACTTCTTGCAAGGTGACAGCCTTTTGATATTTCAATCTTCTGATATTGCCAGCTTTTCTAAAACACAAGCAGAATATTGTGAAAGGATACAAAAAATTACTCAGGAAAAAGCTCAGTCTATCATAAAACTCAGAACTATCAGAAATGCCACCAGGGATAGTTTAAGTAAATGGGAACAAGAAATTAATCTTCCTTTTAAACTGTCTCCCCCTTTGTGAGGTAGAAACCAACTTAGAGGGATGCAAACCCCCTTTGAGTTTCTATGAATCCTGTAGTACAGATGGCAAATCAAAGTCAGGTAAATATAAAAGGATAAATGTGAAGGATTTTTTTCCTGAAGAAAGAGGCTTACTAACCAAGCCAAGGGTAGGTCTATTTGACAAAATAGCTAGAAAAAATTGTTGATGAGACGAGAAAGGATGCTATTAACAAAAACTGAAGTAGGCTGCCTCTATTATTACTCCCTAATGCCCCTTAAAAGCACAAATTCTGCACCAACACATTTCAGTCTCCAAGAATATGCCCATGCCTCTATCAGCCTTGTGGGTTCCTTCCAACTCAGGATCTCCCACAATTCTATATAATCTTCTTATACCCCATTGCTGCCTCCCATACTAAGTTCTTCTGCCAGGCTGTGAGTTCAGTGATATCTGATCTTTGGCATCCTGCACTTTTGGTCATAGCACTGTTATGCCATCATGTTTTATTTATATCTGCTTGAAATAAATGCTATGTATGCCTAATGTAATAATTTAAATATACCTATTATACATAAAATATATTAAAATACCGATTATTCTTATTGCCAAGCCAACATAGTTACATTTTCACATTTTATGTAAAACCGTGTGCACTACAGGTAACGCTAAGAAAAGTCAAATTAATGGCAGGCAAATCTTGTACTATTTTTAGAAGCCACAAAAGAATTGAGATGTTACCTTCCACGAGTCTTCTAGCAGATGCTAGCAGCAAAGCCATCCCAGTATCTGCTGTGCTGCTGGAAACAGCATGTGGAGCATTAGCCATCTTCACACCAAAGCTAGCTATAAGCTTCAGATCCAAGTGATCCATCCCCACCCCCGAATTCGCAATCACTTTTAAGTTTGGCAGGCTCTGGAGGAGCTCTTTGTCAATGACCGGTTTGTGCCACCACAAATAGATTGCTTGGACCTTTTTGCCTACATCCTTTCTGTTTTCAAGAAATTCCTTCATGGTGATGAGGTGGAAATGTTTCTTCAGGAATGGCACATGGCTATGCAATATCCCACGTATGCCACCAACTTCATTTACCAAAAGCCAAGGTAGTTCTCCTTCTTCCATGATCTGCACAAAGAAGAAAGACACAGAGTGTCAGAAGAAACACATATTATTTCCAGACATTTTAAAGAATAATCACTACCATGTCCCGTTTAATGACATTTATGTCAAGAGATCCTGTAAACCACAAAGGAAGATAAGAAAACCAAGACAAGCAAGCAGGTCTTTTAAATATGCTACCACTTATACTCACACACACAGGTGCCCACATACATACACAGAGCTATTCACATAATCAGTCTGAACAAGTTCTGTCCCCGTGATCTAAGATTCCATATTATGCTGCGGTGCCGGATTTCTTCTGCCCGACTAACTCCCAACACTGTCAGCAAGAGTGACCACACCCAGACAGCTGTCAGGGACAGGAAAACACTAAATCAAAACCATACACCAACTTATAAATGGGGGAGGTCCAGGGGAGGATACAATCTTTAGCCAATTGGGGGAAACTGGGGGTGGAACGCAAGGAGAGGAATACAATATTTAAACCGATAAGGAGATTACAGGGGAGGGGAACAACTTAAACAAACCAATGGGATTTTGAAGGATACAAAATTGATAGGGAAGTTTCTAGAGAAAGGGATGGGCTTGAGGCGCGACTAACATTCAGTGGGAGAAGGAACAGGGAACAAAAGGGCAGGTCTGTAGGGAGATGGACAACTAGAACAAAACAACAAAAAAACAACAACTAGGGCAAAACAAACTAGGACAAAAAAACAACACAGGGGGGAAAGGAACAATCCATTGGTAATAAAATAGGCTATAATAACACAAAATGCGGGAGGGGGGTTATAAAACTGACTACTAGGGCCAAATTACAATCAAAAATATGCACCACAACAGTATAACTGCTACTATGCTCAAAACACAACAGTTGTCATTAATTACTTAGTTTCAGATCCTCGGTTGTTTGCAGTATATAGTGCAATAAATCTCCTTTGCTACCCTGAAATCACAAAGTACCCTGTCAAGTAGTTTAGAAAAATGTTGTACCAAATTTACGTCATGAAAATAAATTGCACAGCTTCATCATGAACTTTGAGTTATCAGGTTAATTTTTAAATGCTTTTTGCAGCCACCTGTCCTGAAGAGACCCCAGTGACTGCAGAGACTTTCCTGAGCCTACTGTAAATTACCAAAATAACAAAATCATATATGCTTAGGCAAGTGTTTTCCAAGAAGGACATACACACTCTAAATTGTTTGGTTTGGTTTTTTGGTTTTTTTTTTTGTGTGTGGTTTTTTTTTGTTTGTTTTTTGGGTTTTTTTTGTTTTGTTTTGTTTTTTTTTTTTTGTTTTGTTTTGTTTTTTGGGTTTTTTTTTTTTTTCTCAGAATCCCTGACCATCTGGTTTTGGTCCCAAGAGGGCCTGTGAATTGAGTTACTTTGGGTTTTTTTGACAGACTACACATAGCTACCTTTAATTTTCAATAGCAGTTTTGGGAAGAGCTGTGGGGAGTGTTCAAGAGCTGAAGATCTTGGAGTAGCAATCCTGTAGCAGTTCTGTTGCCTTGCTAGTATTATTTTACTATTTCCAATGGTATGTCTAACTCTTGGCCTGCCTACACTTCCTGTGCTAGAACTTCATTTTATCATCCCTTCAGGGAGCCTGACCATGTTGCAAAATAATGGAAAGTCTTCCTGACTTTATGAAGGTGACAACCATTTTATTGAATTTTCTGAATTTGTTGATTGCTAATAGGAAAGAATATAAGAAGAAGCCTGGCCCTGGACTGCAAGTCAGGACTGATCACTAATTTTGCTTTAGGTTATACCGTCACCAATGTGATTTCGATGATAATTCTACGTTTTTGTCATGGCCAGTCAAGATAAAAGCATCATTTGTATCTGCATGGAGGAACTAAATCTCTTGGAATTTACTTTGGTTTTCAAAGGATATCTTCATGAAAAATAAAGACACTTTTTCAGCAATTGGCTTTGCTTTAACATGTAAATGAAGCAGGGCTCTTCCTAAATTAGAAAACCTTAGGCCTATGATCACTTTAAAGAACATTTCTTCAGTGTTTTCATATAAAAATAGAATATTGGCATATTGGCTGAAAAGTGTTTCAGAATACAGTCAAATTTCTGCAGGGAATCAATGCCCGTTCGTCTTCAACAGATTGGAGAGTGTTACACAAATTGCCAGGTGCACTTGCTTATCATTATGTAGCAGCAAGAACTGGGAACAGAACATTGCTATTCACCGAAATAGACCGAAGAGACCAAAATGCATAACTGCTCAGTTAAAATCTTCAAACAAATCTATTTTATTACTTTCACTTTATTTTTTTTAATTGTGTGAAAAATGTGTATTTGTTCACAAATATTAAAATGGATATTTTATGTGTTATGTTAAAAAGTTATAATATATTAATCCTTTTCAGTAGTTTTAGGCTATAACATAGTATTAAAATAAAAACTATGTGATATAAGATACATGTTCTAACTAGCTCAAGAAATTCTTCGTACAGTGATAACAGCAGCAAGACACCTAAATCTCCAAGAGAAGAATTATTGCCTCCTTAGCTGAAAATACACTCTTTCTACTACCTCCTTCTTGTCTTTGAGATGCCAACAGGATTAAGGGGGGGAAAGTTAACAGTAACCAGAGAAATCCCTAGTTTGAAATGAATGTATGCATCATGTATGAGATATATGAATATGCAACAGGCTATTCCTTTTAAGGGTTTGTTAGCAAGCCCTACTTTCAAGAGGAAAGCATCCAAACATTCATAATTCTTTGCTTTTGTTGTCCTTTATTGTCCTAAATCTAATTGTCCAAATTCTTACTGCTCTAATTTGTATTACTATTTTTATAACCATTTTATTACTATTAAACTTTTAAAATTTTAAAACAAGTGACTGGCGTTTTTCACAAATTGTAAGTAACAGAACAGATCAAGTCTGACACTTTTGCAGCATTATGATGAGCAGCGCAGGAACAGGTTACTTTTTTATTCAGCTTAAAAGTGATAAGAAATAGTGCTTTCCAGTACACAGGAAATTTAGTGGCATCATCTGGCACTCATCATTTGGGAAACACTTCACTTGGAATGGGTTGGTCATTGAGAACAGCCAGCATGTTTGCTATTGCTTCTTCTGCCATCATACGGATGGCCTGAACTGTTGCGGTTCCAATGTGCGGGGTTATGATGACGTTATTCAGGTTTAATAAAGGATGATCTCTGGAAGAAATGGAAAGAACCGAATGTGTTACACAAGGAACTTACTCTGCTGCTATCTCATGCTAGTTGTGAAGAACTGAACCTCAGCAACAGCCCATTCAGATCAAAGCACAGAACAAGCATGAAGCTGGGGGATGCTTGCTTACACGTTTCTTCTTCTCCATCCATCTTGCTCATTGCCTGGCCCATGAGTCAGGCTGGCAAAGACCCATCAGAGGTGGGAAAGGGGAATAACTTGTTGTTTATTTATGATTGTGCAAGACAGTCTGAGGTTTTGCCCCTACACAATGAGTCTCCCGGTGGAGAGCAAAATTATGAGCACCCTTTGAACACAGTTTAAAACAATTCAGATTAACAGACTGGGAAAGAAGTTTCTTTACCTTGGCAGAGGCTCAGGGTTTGTCACGTCCAGAGCTGCAGCCCTAATAACCTTATTCTGGAGAGCTTCTACCAATGCATCTTGATCAATAACTGCACCTGCATTGAAATTAAATATTGATATCCTGATGAGGTTAATGAATACATTTTTACCTATAAGGGTGGGGAAGGTCTCCAGGGTCAAGTGAGAAAAAGTAGAGGATCTTTATCTTGTTAGAAAATAGAATGCCTTTTTAATAATTATTAACCAAACAAACCAAAGATTTTATTTATTAACCTTTAATTATAGGATGATTATGGTCCACTGCATAAGATTTTTCTAGAGATGAGACCAATACCAGTTTCAGTCTTTTCCTCATTTTGACACTTCCTGTATTATTATAGGCAAATCATTTAATCTCTGCAGATTTTCCACTCTTTTATCTCTGCTTTGTTTACTGATAATCTCTCTCATATGCTCGTTCAGTGCCAACAGAGCTGTTATCCCATGTGAGGCTTCCTTTCTACACTGCTGTTCCAAATGTTACTTAATATTTTCCCTTGTACCCCATTCTCCCTCACTGATGATAAACCTTTCAGTTATTTCCACTAAAACCCTCTGTTTCTAGAATAAGGCTAAAGAGAACCAACCATCTGCTGAGCATCCCTAATTTCCAGAGGGCCTTTGAAGACATAGCATATGATCCATGTTAGTCACAGATTTGTAGACTGCCAGCTACTTAATGACTCAAACAACAGAGGGATATCACAGACTGAGGTTGGAGAGGGGAATATCAACACAATCAGACAAAACATGACCTTAAGTGTGGAGCCACAAACAGTGATTTCAGATCCTCCTACCTCGGCTGATGTTTATAAGAGTAGCTGTGGGTTTCATCAGCCCTAGCTCCTTTTTCCCAATCAGTTTGTGAGTCTCAGGAGTCAGGTTCACAACCAACATAACAAAGTCAGATTGCTGCAGCAAGTCTTCCATCTCTGCACGGTAGTGGGCACCAACAGCCTCTTCCTCCTCCTTTCTTCTGAAGGAAAAATGCACAAATCCCCAAATTGACACAACTATTTCTAACTGAGTTTAACAATCAGTCAGCCCTAGGAGAGTTCCAGAAAGCACAGAAACTGAGAGGTTTGAGACCAACACAAAGGATAAGCCATTGATAGGCTCAGTTGGTAGAGTGGATGCAGAAAGGATGTGGGCTAGAGGGAGCAAGAGGCTACAGGAGTGGTGGGACACTGGAGGAGTGATATCTGTGTGAAAGCATAGCACACAGGCAAGATGAGGTTAGGAGGCTGGGGATGCAGTCAGACCCTGCTCTTCTCTCCTGTGTCTATGCCAATTCCTGTGGAACCTTTCCTTGTCTGACATGCCAGCTAGGACTTGTGATTGAAAAGAAATGAACTGTGAAAGAAAGGGAACTAGAGATCCATGAGAAATGAAGGCCTTTGTCATTGGTGCCAGTGTGATGAGAGATCTGGCTAGGGTGAGGAGACTGGCTGGGAGGAACAGGGATGCTGCCAGAAGCCTGAAGAAGAGTCTGAGAGGGAACACAATGAGGGCACAAGACTTGGTTTGCTTGGACAACATCTCCCAAATGCTTACACAGTCCTTGTTTCAAACTGATAGTGGCTAACCAGGACAGGGCAAGTGCAGGGGGAACTGCTTCCTGAAGGGAGCAGGAGGGACCCAAAGTGAGGAAGTGGTGGCACAGTGGTGCTTGTCACACTGCTTACAACTGCCACAAGTACACAGGAAGGCTGGAGACAGAGCAGAGCTGTGGCTTCCGTCACTGCCCCGTGGACAATTAACTGCAGAAAACAGAAATGCAGAAACCTTTACCTCTGGTTTCTGTTATGGTACAGGATCCTCATGTTGAAGGCTCTGGCTCTCTGAGCCACTTTGTATCCAATGCTGCCCATCCCAATGATCCCAAGTGTTGCTCTGGTTACTTCCACTCCCAGCCAGTCAACAGCAAAATACTTTGTGTCTGGAGACACGGCAATGTGGCAGCCTGTGTGGAAATACAGGTTGAATGGGTACAAATAAGCCATAAATGGAGGCCTTGGGGAAATAAAAGGTTCATCACCATTACAGCAGTGGGGCTCTGGAGCACCCTTTACAAAACACCTTTGTTGATTTGGACCAGTTTATATAAGGGCCTGGATGGTGCCAATTCCTGCATCCGAGCCTGAAGCCTGTGTAATGCAGTGGGATCCTGGCTGGGTACTGTGCTGGAAGGAGTAACTCCTTGGGGAATTAACTTTTCCACAGCTGGTGTGTTTTCTTGGAAGTTCAAAAATAGCTTCTTTGAAACCACCTGCAAGCACTGACTTCACTTTTTTTTTTCAGCTGGGGTAAATCTCACCGTTTCTCTCCTGGATCACAACCCAAACCAGTCTCACTCCTTGAGAGGCTTCAAATTCCAGCTCAGCCAGGGATCTCAGTGAGCTTTTACACAAAGAACTTGAGGTTCAAAAAGATACAATAGTGAGAAAATATCACTGGGAAAGAGATGTTATTTCATGCTCAGGGGTGGAGCAGCAGTGACAAGAAGACCATGAGTCCCTGAAGAGAGAGGCAGCTTCTTATGAAGGTCTCTACTGGCACCTTCCTTCCCCAGAAAGGCATTGCTCAGCAAGGGAGTGGGGAAAGAACCTGCTTTTAGGGACACAAACTAATGCTGCTGGAACAACTTATAACAGCTTTGTCAAAAGGATTATCATCTATTTAAAAAATAATGCTGACGCTCTTCAGGAAATACAACCCACTGGTTTAGACAAACTGATCCACAGAGGTAGGAAAAGGAAGAATTTATACTAATTACTGCTCTGGAGTTGGAGATGTGGCCACTAATGCTCTGTATCTTCCTGCAGCTCCTAATGCTTCTTTCAAGGGGAAATGGAAAGTGATGGCATTCAATTTGGGTGCACTCTGTATTCAGTTTTCACAGCTATAAACAACCCTCCCAGTGAACAGCCAGAGAAGAATGAAGCCCCAGACATTATTCCAAACAGGATATCACATAACTTTCAAGTGCAAAATTTAGACAAAAGCCTTACTCTTGTCACTGTTGCCCTAAAAAGAAGTAAGACATAGGAGAAGTAGATGCCTCTGAAAGTTAAGGCCTGTGAAAATTTTTCCCTGTAAAAGCATCCCAAATATTGATTCAGAAAGATCATCTCTCTCACAGCAAAAGCGAAGTGTGCCAAAGAAGTAGCTAGGACCAAGAAAATTTAAAACACTACCTTCCACTAGTCTTCTGGCAGAGGCCAGCATCAAGGCCATTCCTATGTCTGCTGTTGGGTCTGCCACAGCGTGCGGGGTGTTGGTCACTTTCACACCAAAGCTTGAGATCATTTTCAAGTCTAAGTGATCCACTCCAACCCCAGAGTTTGCAATCACCTTTAAATTAGGCAGGCTTTCTAGAAGCTCACGGTCAATAGTTGGCCTGCACTCAAACACAAAAACAGATTGGATTTTTTTTCTCACTTCTTCTTTGTTTCCAAGAAATTCCTTCATGGTGATAAGGTGAAAGTGTTTCTTCAAAAGTGCTGCAAGGTCTTCTAGCACGCCATGAGTTCCTCCTATATCCAGGATCAAAACAGCTGGCAACTCTCCTTCTGCCATGATCTGAAATGGAGGAATAGAAGAAATACTCCTTTGTTTAGGAGAATACTCTGAAAGGAGCAATTATGTTCCTTTAAAAGTTATCATTTAAATTCACATGTGTAGATCAGGAAACTGATGGAACTCAATAGTGCTTTTAATCCACAGGCACTTGGTACTAGTGTGGTATGTCAGACAAATTCCAAGTACTTTTACCAAGTGCTGATTTAGACTATAACACCAAGGAATATCCACACTCTTACATCCAAACCCAGTCCTACAAGCTGTTCTTCTCAAAGAGTTTCATTTTGCTCCTGAATCAATACTGATTTAATACAAAACTAGTAGCTTTTCCAGTAGCTTACTCACCAATGCCTTCTATAAGTAGTGCTATGAAACAGAGGCTGCTAGAAATTTAATCAAAGTTTCTTACCTGTTGGTTATGGTTGGTGAAGCCAGAGGCAATGTAGGATGGCACTGAGGCCCAGATGGTTCTGACAAAGATGGTTTATGTCTAACAAATTTGCACAATGAAGGGCCACCCTTGGATAGCTGTTAGACTGCTTGCCTTCAGTGTTTTAAACATTCAGATCTGTACCTGAACTTACCTTATGCAAAATTTAGCACACTTATGTGCTGAACCAGTGAGGAAGAGCACTAGAGGAGATACCACTGATAACACAGTCTTTCATGCTAGAACTTTCCTCTGCCCTGAGAGTTTTGAGCCCAGTCCTCTCTACAGCACTCCAGCAAATGCACTCTGCAATAAGATAGGGGCTCCACATACAACCAAATACCTAATTAGAGCTCCTATTGGCAAAAGTGGTAGTTGAAGATTTCCTGCATATCTTGACAATAGCTGTGCCTAATTTCCTACAATTCTTTTTGCTGTGCTCTACTGACTTTTGATCTCCATCCCATTCTATCTCCTAGGCTTGTGTCCAAGAAACCTGATGTTTTGCTACCTGAATCAGAACAATTTTCCACAACAGTATGCTGATTTATTCTGGGCACACAATGCTGGCCAGCTGTGTCCTGCTGCTTCACTCCTCTCACAAAAGCCTTCTGTGAGTAATCAGAACTCAAACCTGTGACAAAAAGGTGTCAATGTAGGTTGGAAGTTTTTGTCAACCATGTTTACCCTTGTCCTGAGCAAACTCAGACTTATCCCAACCACATCTATTAAATGGCTTACAATCTTGGCAGCAGTACTGCTATTTTATCCTGGCCTTGATGTGCATTTCTGCTGCAGTTTCAGTCTGCTGCTGGACATGGGCTTGAAGGGGCCTCCATGCTAGGACAGGTCTGCAGTTCACCACAATGTCTCTGATAATACTATCTGGTTCTCAACTGCAGCAAACAAAGCAATGTGGTGAACAGTGCAGCCAAATTGCAAAGGAAGACCATGTTTTTATATACATATCATCTTTTTTTTTGCCAGCTGAAGTTGTCAGCCACATGTAGTTGTCAAAATTGTGCAAACTTCCCCAGGTGTAGTCTGCATTTCTTAAAGAGTATCACACAACATTACTAAGATAAACTAGATTTGTGTTGCAGAATGAATGATGCATAGAATAAAAGAGCAGTTGATGTCATGTTATGATGGCATTGTCCAGCTTCATGAATGATCAGAATCTGGTAAACCTGGAGGGCAGCTAAACTTTTGCTGTTAAGCAGGGAAAACTGGGCACCAGACATGATCAAGTGACTAGCAGATGCCAATGAGGCAGCACTGTAGTACTCCATTTGTTTTCATCACCACCTCCTGCCCTATCACAATACACCACACATGATGGGCAGAGCCAGACTTGCTTTCACTTTGGAAGCACTTCCTACACTTCAGAAACAGAAAGGTGACCCACAAGGAAGCCTCTAGTTATAAACAAACCAGTGCACTAGAAGCAGGCTAGTGGCATGTTGATGGATCTTTCAACAAGTGTGGGCATGCTGAGCCTGCCACCATTCCATTCCAGCTGTGTTTGATGCACGTGTGACCCATTCACTGCCTACAGCACTGGTCCAACAACTGGTGTTCTGCTCACCACAGGTACAATCTTAAAAAATCACACTGATAACAGGAAATTAAAAATACTTAAAGGAACCTCACAGAAGGAAGGGGGCTCTCCAGATACCAACCTTGGTCCCAGTGCTTATTGTTCGTCTTCCAGCACTAAGTTGGCGCATCCTGTACCTCTGTTTGTAAATCACACTTCTGTGACAGCAAAGTCCATGAGAAGCAATAACTGGATGAAAAAATTTGTAAGCCAAATTTGACTGGCCAAACATCAAAGGAATCAGTTTTGACAGACTCGATGCTTTGCTCCTGAACATAATTATTCAGTTATCAGATGTCTTCTCCAGTGTGCTAAATGTAACACCTGTCAAGGATATGACAATTTTGGTTTTGGACTAGTTCCATCTGTGTTATCAACAAGTTCCTTTTTTTTTTTTAAGTTGTCTCTTCTCCTTTTGTATTTACATAAGACTATATGCTTCCATGTAGGTAAGCAGTCATAATCGTAGTAAATCATTGATATAAGGTAACTGTACTAAGTTCTGGTCCTGCCATTGCAGAGAAAACTTTGAAAATATGACTTAGATTGAGACAACGGGGCAAATACGTTTAAGTATTAACTTCAGTGCTAACTGAAATTGACCTTATTTCATCTGTGGAGCTTGACTCACTCCTCCTGCGGAGTTTCACTCACAGATTTGTTGGCTGGTACTGCTATATCACCTTGGACTTAAACAAATCATAATAAAATAAACGATGTAATTTTTCCTAGCCCAGTTTTCAATTAAAATTAACAGCCTGCGTTATCCAGGATCAATTCCTCCCACTAACTTCTCTAAATAAGAAGACTAATTATACCTGAGCGACGACCACAAAGCACTGACCAGGGCTGGTTTCTTTCCGACGACGCGCCTACCACAGCTCGATCCCGCGGCAGCTGGAAGAGCCGGGAGCTCACGGCTCCTGCTCGGGGCCGGGCACATCCGCTCCTGCCCAGCCCCGCTCCCTTAACCCTGCCTGCCCGGGCACCGCCAGCTCCGGGGCTGACGATTTCCAGGGAAGCTCCGGCACGGGGATCACCGCCCCCGCTGCCTCTGCCCCTGTCTGCAGCCGGACCGGGCTCCCTCTCCTTTCCCCCGCCCTCTCCCTCTCCTTCTCCCCCCCCCGGATGTCCTAAAAAGGTGATAAAGCAAGATGAGGACTCGGATGGTTTTTGGAGAGCTCAGCAATTGTGGGGCAAAGCTATTTGCCACCAATTGACATTGTTCCCCACGACCCTGGCTGCAGTTTGTGGGGAATTTTTATAGTGGAGACTATGTTTTTGTCCCTGCCTGCTGCAAGCTAACCTTTCAAATGAGTGTCTGCTGTGGAATTAAGGAAACAGATTGGTCTGGGATGGCCTATGCCAATGGCCAGCTCGATTCTGGAAGCCAGTGCTGGAATGTGCTGGTTTTGCTGCTGACCACTTCCACTGGTGGGTTTGCCCAGAGTGCCCTCGTAGTGGTGCTTGGATCACCGGAGCGATGATGGAGCCCATGGAACCCCAGAGCGGGCCTGGGAGTGGCTGGGCATGAAAATTGTCATTGCTGGGGGTGAATACACTGAGAAAACCTCCCACGGCCAGGAGATGCCATAGCACAGAACCACGGAATTGCTGGGCTGGAAGGGACCTTAAAGAGCATCTGGACCAGCCCTCTGCTATGGGCATGGACACCTTTCGCTACACCAGGGTGCTCAGAGCCCCTTCCAACCTGGCCTTGAACTCTTCCAGGAATGGGGCATCCATAGCTTCTCTGAGCGTATCTCCTTGATCAAATCCCATGGAGGTTACAGGGAATATACAACATCAGAGCGGTCAGCAGCAGAGAGTAGGAGATCTGGGCTCTGATCACCTCTGTTTCACCCTCCCCGTGCTAGCCGGCATCACCAATCCCCACGGCACGGCTCCACATCCCACCTGCGAGGGGGGACGCGGACGTCCCTGCCCAGCCCGTGCCCGCCCGTTCGGCGGCGGGGTCTCCTCCCGTCGGGAACGCGCCCGGTCCGCCCCGCGCCCTGCCGGAAATGCGCGTTCCCGTGCCCGCCCTTCCGCTTCCCGCCCGTCCCGGCGCTGCCGTCGCTCCGTGTCTCTGAGGGAAGGACGCCCGCGGGGTGCGCTGGGGACGGGCCGCGCCGGGATGGGCGGGCCGGGGGAGCGCTCGGTGCCCGCCGGCGCCCCGGGAGGGCCCGGGGAGGGCTTGGGCTGTCAGCTGCATGGGCATCCCTGTCGTCCCGCAGGCTCCCCAGCCGGCCGCCAGGATGTCGTACATGCTGCCGCACTTGCACAATGGGTGGCAGGTGGACCAGGCCATCCTGTCGGAGGAGGACCGGGTCGTGGTCATCCGCTTCGGGCACGACTGGGACCCCACGTGCATGAAGATGGATGAGGTCCTGTACAGCATCGCCGAGAAGGTAAACGGGAGCTTTCTGCTCCTTCTGAGCTCAGTGTTCCCCATGGCTTGCTTGGAGCCTGGGGCAGCTTGTAACCGGGGTTCTGCACAGGTATCCCAGCTTTAGGAGGCAGCGGGAAAGTTGTATGGTTTCACTTTCACGAATGTCTCCTAAAGACTGCTCTGATGTTTGCAGTGTTCTGGGGGGGGGGGGGGTGAAAAGAGCGTCGCAGGTGTTCGGAAATCGAGAGTGCTGCCAGTCAATAACCCATCACTGAGGGAGCATCGGCATTCAGGCAGAAACAGTGCTCGGTGGTAGGGCTGCTGCGGCTCCGGGTAACGCAGCACTCTCACTTCACAGTGGAAATGTACCTTCAGATTTCCATCTGAGTAGCTTGAAAAGTTACTTTCATTTTGGCTCTTAAGAATGGTGAGGCACTTAAATGTGCAGGATGGTATTGATTAATCTGTCACTCATATAATTCTGATTAATCTGTCAGCAATATTAATCTGTCAGTGATGTTATCCATGGACACCAGTAGCATTCTGCTGAATTGCATGGACTGAATAAAATTTTAAGAGCCAAACTCCACAGCTGTTTTCAGATGGAAACTGAATGATTACAAACAGCTGGTCACTTACTTAAGAAAGATACATAGATAGGAAAAATTAGACTGTTAGGATACACAATCACCTACAATTTACCTTTTCATATATTTGCTAAAGTTTTTGCGACACGATAGATGTAGAATATTGACAGCTCTTTAACTGAACCACATGAAGGAAGAAACAAAAATATCTGAATCAGAAATGGTAACTTGGGTAGGAAAAGGTGTCAGCTATCATAGAAATCACAGAATGGTTTGGGTTGGAAGGGACCTTAAAGATTATCTCATTCCAACTCTCCTGCTCTCCTGCACAGGTTGCTCAAGGCCCCATCCAGCCTGGCCTTGAACACTGCAATGAATGGAGCATCCAGAACTTCGCTGCCTTCATAGAAAGTTCTGTGCATGCTGCATAGATTGACATGGAGTTGTTTTTGTGGTTTACTTTGCCTTCTGAAGTTTTTTAAAATAACTTGTGTCTTGAAAATCCCCACAATTAAAGATCTATACCCACAGCCAGGCGTTAAGATGTATTAGAATACAGTAAAGAGTTGTGACATGTTTTAATACTGTTGTTTTGTATTCAGCCTGGTGGGAGTGTTATGCTCAGATACTGTTAGTATGGACTTGAGGCAGGATGCTTGGAAATTTCGAAGACCTGTTGGCAGCTAGGGGTGACTGGGGGAAGAAAGAACAAAGTAACTTCTTATTTAAAAATCTCCCTCTGCAGAAATGGCAAATTAAAGAGGGAGATCCTACCTCATCCTCTTGCTTACAAGCCATGTTTGGATCTCTGCTGTTTTAAAGAGTGAGTAAAAGTTCCAATTGTCCAGGTGTTTATTCTAGAGAATAATACAGAATGTTGATGCGTTATAAATGCAGGCTACGTCTGAAGGCAATGTGGCCGTATTTTACATTTGTTGCCCTGGTGCAATATTCTTTTAGACTGCAGCATGTTTTTGGGTAGCAGTAATATTTATCTGTATTTTATGATAGGATAACAGGGTTTTCTTTTCAGTTTTCGTGGAAAAAGAAACTAGAATGCTATCTGAAAGTACAAAGCAGATTGTACTGAAATGTACTCCACTTGCAGCTGACTGGATTTTCTCCCCTAGTGTTATGTGAAAAAGAAGCAAGGTTTCACTGAATGTCAAAACAAATCATAATTGTAAGATGTTAGATTTTTTTTTTTGCTTTGTCAGGGGTTCAATCAAACATTGATTGAAGCAAGAATTGAGTGTCACAAATTTTGTCTTAATGACCTTTTCTAAAAATACACTTTTTCTTTTCTTTAAAGGAAACTCATAATTATAAACCTATCCCCTAAAATACAGGGATTGGTTTGCTAAATTGATGCACCTTGTTTAAGAAATTATTTATTTATGAGTGAATAGTGTAAATTAGGTAACTTGTATTGGATCAGTTTGGGTTTAGGGAGGATTTTTCAAATGTTGTGCATTTATTTAACCATAATCAGAAGTGTGAATAGCTGTGGCTTTTCCTCGAACATTAGTTGTGCCTCTGCATTTCTGCTAAAGTTACATGAAAAGTGAGAGAGGAAAAGAAGGTGGGGCAGGGAAAGAGGTAGCTGTGAAAAAAGCATATAGGTATTTTAGCTACTGGTGTTTGTAATTAAAAGCTGATTAGTCTCTGTTCCTGTATTTTTTTCCTGCAAGTTTCTTTACTGTAAAGCAGTCTTTTGTTCTTCTAAACAGAAAAAACACTGTCTAGAAACTGGTTAGAAAGATGAGAAGGAGGAATCTTGGATCTTGTTCCAGATTTCCTTGGATATTTGGGCTGTAAGGTTTGCTTTTCAAAGGCAGCTGAAATCTTTTAACAACTGAAAAAACAGGAGCATTACTTACCTCTGACAGAAATTTCAAGAAACTTCACGATTTTTGTCAGTCATCCTGGGCATTAATCGTAGTGTCAATCTCATGTTGTAGGAATGAATTTATTTATTTTTTAGAAGGATATTGTTAATTAAGGAAGTCAGGGAGGAGAACTTCAGAGGACAAATGAGTCCCATGGCAAATGATTTTTCCTACCTCTGTGTTTCCTGTTTACTAGCAAGTATGTGAAGACAGGATACAGAATCTTTATCTGATGTTAAAAGTCCTATAGATTCATCTGCTTTATAGTCTTGAGCCATTCAGTGTAAAGATTTCATAGCAGTCCTCAGGCAGAGACAGTTCTGTGAAGTATTCAAACAGCCTGGAACAGTGGCCAGGCAGTAATATACTTCTGGGTTTTCTACATGCATCTTGAGCCATGTGGATTGATTGGACTGATCTATGAAATTACCATCACTGGGGAGAAGGGGCAAAACTGCAGCCCAACCTATGAAAAGAGGTCACACAGTTTTGAATCTATGCTGCTGTTTGACTTACGTCTCCTACTCTACCCTGTCCCCATGGAACAAGCAGCTCCAACAGCCTGGTAAGGCAGAGAAAGTTTTGAATTGAAAGAGAGATAAGGAAAGTCAGGAGTGTCAGAAATAGTTAATATCTGTCTCTGAAAATGCTTTTATCTTCCGTTGTTGCACAAGTGAGGTGCTGCCCAGAAGGAGGTGTCTCACTAGAGTTTTGATTTTTTCTTCAGAAAGCAGTTGACTTACTGCAACAAATTTACTGTATTTAGTGTATGTTATGAGGTTAAGCACTTTCAGAGTAAACTTGTGTTATTATGTGTTTAACTTCTAAAATACTACAAGGTTTTTTCATATTGTCTCTACAGTAAAATTTTGGTTTGTATTAACAAATTCAGTGTAACCCTTTGTGAACCCTTTGAAACCCTTTGTAACTACTGCCACTGCTTGTATTTACTTGGATTTGCATGTTTAGAGTTGTATTTTATTCTTGTTCTGAGGTGTCCATAGTGTATCCTCAGTTACAACTCACAAATCAGGTAGAAAACTTGTTAGCAACCACTGCCTTGACAGGGTAGCAAAGCTGGTTTTGTACAGGAATGTAGGTTTTCAACTGACAGCTCTGTCTGAGCAATGGATTCACATCCCAGCAGAGAGAGGTCGGCCTTTGGTTTGTCTCCACAAACCGTGCACTTCCACAGCAGTCTGAATCCATAAATACTTCCCCTGTTTTTGCTTAAATCAAAGCTTTTTTGTGAATTAGAACTGGCTGTGTGTGAAGCTGGCTCAGATGATGCTCTGTACTGCTGCTGTCTTGGCTCCAATATTGTGTCTGAGACAGGAACTGCTTCTTCAGGCTCTAAAACTGGTCAGTACTGTGCAAAAAGAGACATCTGAGTCTCTGCAAGGCTTGTCTCGTGTTGAAATGAAATGCCTCTTGGTGACAAGCTTGCTCAGCCTGGCACATTAAATTGCCCAGCCCCTAAACATTACATACGCCACTGCAGTTCTTCTGCATCACCCTCTCCATGTTTTTATCTCATCGCTCCTTAGGCCTGAATTCCTATTTCCTATTGCTATCCTTGGCAGCTGGTGCCCAAACTCAACAGAGCACACACTCATTCAATGTGTTTTGTAAGCTAGCTTGTTTTGGAGTGGTGATCATGCCAAATTTGAAATTAGGAAAGCGAGGGGTAAAGAACAGAGCAGCTTTTAAAGTTTTGAATTAAAATTTGAGTCCAGCTTTAAGGTCTGCTTCAGACTTAATATGAGCTTTTCAGCAGGTGACTCTCATCAGTTTCACTTCTATGAAAGTAGGTCAGAGAGAAGGAAGATTCAATTAATGTCTTGGATGCCTGGGTCCTGGTGATGACTTGCACATGATTTGAGTGATCCAGTCCTTTTTAGTAAGATTTATGTAACAAAATAAGACTTTTATAGTCATTTCTCTTGTATGAAATCCTAGGCTGTTGATGAGCACTGCTAGTGACATGCATTTCTGGTTCTGCAACAACTCAACTAAATTAAATGCATATAGTGTCAAACTAACTTTAAAAGGTTTTTTTGTTCTAGTACTATCTGAAGTACAGAGTTCTTGAAAGTAAAGTTTTGGTTTAGGAGTGCTTATGCAGTGGTATTCTGGTGCAACATGTAAATCTCCTTTGACTAGTCTTTCACCGAACAAAACAAGTCCTAAGAATATTTTATTAAAATAATTTTTCAAGCTCCAAATTAAGTAATTGTTCAGAGATGGTGTGCTCTGTCAAAAGTGCTGAGTGTGTTGTAGAAATTTCCTCACATGGTGAAGGTGTGCTGCTGATGCTAAAAATGCCAGCAGGGTGGAAGAAGTAATGATAGGATAAAATGAAAATGGCTCCTCGGGTGTTTTGTTTTCTAAAAAAAGGATCAACCACCCCACAACTGCCTGCCAGGGCTCACCAGGGAATAGCTTCAGTCACTTCTCAGCTAAATTGGGCTGCCTCTGAACATCCCATTAAGGTTCTTAGAAGTCTTTAATGTAAAATTGAAATGGGTGTGAAGGATCCCTTCAGAGGGTTTGATATTATGACTGTTTTAGTTTACATGGCTTTACCTCCTGCCTGATTTAGAACATAGGGATGTTTTCATTGGAATGTTGACTGAACCTGGGACTCTAACTGGCTCCATAAAAAGCACAGTAAAAACTTTAAATTCTGCTTCGCTCTAGAAGAGATTTTACTTTCTTTGCTAGTAATACTTACTTGCATTCTTGAAGTGTGATTATTTTTATAATTTGGAAACTGTCTTGAAGCAGAAGTCCATAAAAAATTTATTTACTCTGTGCTTCTGAGGGTTTTTTTTGTAAATAAACATTTCCATAATTTCTCAGTAAAGTGCCTATTAGGATGTCTATGTACAAGCTACACAATATTTTTCTCATACAAACTAATCCTGCTCTGTGAACTAAAACAAAATATTGTTCCATCAGGCAGGTATTATACTCATTTCCAGACTTTTGATAGCAAAAAATTAACAAGTGGAAGTACTGTCACGAACAGTGCATTCGTCATAGATTTTAGACCATGTGTGTCAACCTCAGGCTGGTAATTCTGGGCAGCCAAATGGGAGGGACCAAAATTGTGTTAGCAGGTAACTGAGGATGGGGAGACACAATTGTGGGCTCCTGGTGTAGTGCAAAAGCAATTGATAATATACCTTATAGTTCATGCATTCTGACTTAGAATGTGACGTGTGTGAGTGTGTAATTTCTACTGTGCACTTATGAGCTAAGTTTAGAAACCAAAATTTCCCCTAATTCCACTTAATAACAAGTATGCTACATCTAGGAAACAAAAGTGTGCCATGGTTTTCTTGCAGGAATGAAGGCATTGACTGTGACACTAGAGGGGAGGGATTCTTTTGCATCTGAGTAACTCTGCAAAATGAAAGCCAGTTTTACCAGAATTGTTCAGACTTCTCATCAAGGTCTTATTTCTTTAGCAATTGCACTTTTAAATTTTAGCTTTGGACCTCTCAGTAAAAGCTACTAGTTTTTAAATTAAATTATACGTTTACAATTTTACACAAATTGGATGTTTTAGAGGGGGAAGAATGCTTGGAGGCAGGCACCAGGGCATTGTAGATCATTAATTTTCTGAAGTCTATAAGCAGCTGATGACACAGGCAAAATGTGTCAGCTTGGCTTGCACAAAGCAACTATTCTACTTCTTTAGAGCTGTGCATGTCACTGTGAGTTCTCAGCTCTATATAAAGGGCATTTGTTTCTCTGGATGTTGATTTAGCATAGTATCTTTCTAGTTTACACTGGATGTGAAATGAGCTTCTTAGCTATATTGAAAAATATTTTCCATGTTAATTGGTTGTTGTGATTAACAATAAAAGCAAGGCTGTTTATTCTGATTTTATGACTTAATAATTTGGAAAATAGATGTTACAATAATGAAAGCTTATGCCTTTTAATTGGTAATATATATAGCTTTTGTATTTCCTGTTTTCTTCTGTTTAGGTTAAAAACTTTGCTGTTATTTATCTTGTGGACATCACTGAAGTACCAGACTTCAACAAGATGTATGAGTTGTATGATCCCTGTACCGTCATGTTTTTCTTCAGGTATGTGATGGTTCTGGAATGTAACTCATTTAAGCTTTCTGTTTGTCAAATACAGTGTCTCAGCAGATCATTTCCAAATGCATAATAGCACACTGATGCCTATATTTACATTGCTCTACAGAAGAGTAAACTGATTTTATAGGAAAATGGTTTGTATTCCAATCAGTCTGGTAACAGTGTTTGATAATAGAGTATAAATTCATGATAGTGAAAACCGGGTTTATTATCCATTTTTCTTAGTTTTAAATCTCAAACTTCCTGTAGAGAATACTGTAGTAACATAGCAGTCAAGCTTGCCAAACTTGCTTTCAAGATAAATCAAAAGTAATAAGGTTTTTTTGGAGTTAAGGTTCCTACATTGATGAGATAAAATGTTCTACTGACAAGTCTCTCTGGAGATAGAGAGTAGTGGGAAAGAAATACAAACAATAAGGAATATGATGAAGGATAATTGCACTGAGGAACCATTTTGGGGGCATGTTAGGAGTTCTTATTCTTCCTTTAAAAATTGGCAGTAAAATGTCAGTTTAAGTGAGAGGAGTAATGATTGTTCTGCAAGCCTGTTTATGTTATAAGGGCTTCCTTTGATCCTACAAAGCATTTGGGGTGGGGTATAAGATTTCTTTCTGAATTATAATACCATATTAACCTGGTTTTTTGTTCTTCCTCTTTAAAGGAACAAGCACATCATGATTGATTTAGGTACAGGTAATAACAACAAGATCAACTGGGCAATGGAAGATAAGCAGGAGATGATTGACATTATAGAAACTGTTTATAGAGGAGCCCGCAAAGGTCGAGGTTTGGTGGTATCGCCGAAAGATTATTCCACTAAATACAGATATTGATGTTTCTTTGGGCTGCCTTTTCTCATAATCCTATGCCCAGTTACATTTATTCCTGTGTATGTGTATACATAAATGTATATTAAAAGAAAAAAAACCTACAAGTCCTTGAATATTGAGCATAATTTGAATGATTTAAAATATTTGAGTTCTGTTTGAGAAGCAGAAAACTTAAAGCCTGGAAGTGTCTTGAATATTACTGCAGTAACATTGTAGCTGAATTTTGGGGTTTTCTTTTTTAAAGACTCTCCTTTGTTATCCTTTTGGTATTACATATTTTTGCACACAAAAAGCCTGTTTGCAAAAAACGCATTTTAAATTGTTTCATTTGCTTTTATTACACAAATATCTAGGAAAATTATACTATAGTTTTTTTAAAGAATAAAGTGAGTTCCACTTATTCACCTTAATTTTTTTTCAGCTAATGAAATTTGACAGTGAGTAGAGATGGGTGCAAGTCTGTAATGTTGAAGATGACTTCTGTTGGGATTTCCTTGCGTATCATACTAGTCCCCTGTATCCACTAAAAATGTGAATAAAACAAGGTGCATTTATTAGTATTTAACAGAACTCAGAGAAAACATCTCCTGTGACTTTGCTCACCACCACACCCCCATCAGCCTAATGGACTTGTGGTGCCAGACTCCTTTTCCATGGTGGCTGGGCACTCACTTTGAAGCACTTGGTGAATTCTGCAGTGCCAAAGCATAATTGCACTTCTGGAGCTGGCTGCAGACAGCAGCTAAGGAAACCAAAAGCTATGCTGTCACTTGACCTCCAGTTTGCCTAATAGTATACCAAAATGCACGTGTACTTGGATTGGATTCCACTGTGGCATAGCTTTTGAAATTTCCATTTGCATTTCTGACAACTTTTATGGTAATGGAGTTGATGTTGTGTGGGGGCTTGTTTGTTTTTTAAACTGATACATGCATATTTACAGGATTCATTAAAACCAAACCAGGCTAGCTCCCTTCTCCAGAAAGAAGAAATCCAGTTTGTTACAAGCCAAAGAATTTATTTCTACTACCGAGTGTGTTGTAGAGGATTTAGAAAGTGTGAAGAAAGTAAAACAAAAGGGTCTCAATTTCTGCTGAAGTTAATCTGGTTTAGAGTGGTCACTGATTTGGAATAATTTATGTTGGAAGGAAATGTCAGCCTCCCAGTCATAGTAGGTTCCACATAGTCAGGTTGCCCAGGATCATGTCCAGTGTTGAGTTGGTTGGACTAGATGATCTTCAAAATGCCTTCCAACCTTGATTCCATGTTCTCTAAGGATGGAGATTCTTCAGCCTTTCTGGAAGTCCTGTTCTGCTGTTTGAGCACCTTCATAGGTGAAAAAGATGTTCCTTGCACCTAGCTGGAATTTTCCATGTTTCAGCTTGTGTTGAGTAACCCTGGTGTGCAACACATTCAACAAGAGTCTGTTCCCCGTGCTCGGCCATGGGGTCCTGGTTGGCAGAAAAAAGCCACAGTCCTTTCTTTAGGCTGGACTAAGAGATTTCTCTCCAACCTTGTATCTGCTGTAGCCCACTCCATCTTGGTGGCTCTGTTTCACCTCCCTTACACCACTGCATCTCTTGAATGGGCAGCCCCCAAACTGACAGAATATTGTGGGTGTGGTCATGGGTGAATGGAGGGGGAACTTGCTGGCCCTACTTTGTGCTCATACTGACCAGTGGGTTGCTGCAGCCCTTACTGCCTGGGCACCCTGCCCACTCAGCCAACCTTTCCTCCAGACCCCTTTCCTGCAAAGTAGTGCCAGCCAGCCCCTCACACCTGCCCAGCTTGGCATTTTGAACTTCAGCAAGGTCCTGTTGGCCCACTTCTCCAGCCTGTCCTCCAGCATACCAACCTCTCCCGCCAGTCTGACAGTATGTGCAAGTCTACACTGATTAAAGCCTTAATTGGAATGATTTCTTCATCTTAATGAAGGCTGTAATAGAAGCATTTCTCCCTCATTAGCTGAGGTATTTTGCTAACCTGGCAATGCTTCGGTTTCCGCATTTTTTGGTAAAAGGTTCCCATTACATTTCAAACTAAATCTTCCCTGCAGAGTACCTATGTTTTGGTATACGACCACCTTAAATTTAGTGCAGATGTCCTGTTTTCTGACTACCAATTTCTTCTTCTGGACATGCCTGGTAACTAGAATTCCTCATCTATTTCCAGGTCTTTAAATAAAATAAACTATTTTCATCAAAACAGCTAACATTAAAGAATTGAAATTGTCACAATATAAATACCTGGGTGATGTTACCTGCACTGGTGTGCACAGCTTTGGGTGGGCTTGTGCAAAGAGTAACAACTGAGCAGTTGTAGCCTACAAATACTGCCATTTTTTTAGTACAGAATGGTTTATTCTAAGAACGTATAAGTTAAAAAGGCAACAAATCTTACTGTTTTAATATTAAAATAAATACATTTTCATTCATTGAAAACATTTGTAATTGGATAAGTTCACTATATAGAATATAGTTTTCTATCCAAAACAGTGGCTTTGCCTTCTCTGAAACTAACAGTTCTTTTTCAGCTTCAGGAAATAGTGTCGCACTTAGATGAACAAACCCAGCTTTCTATTTTTTCCTGGGGCAATGGTTTAATTTTTTTTTCAAGGTTCTGTTATGACATGATACAAATACATTTGTTTTCCCTTAACATTTTTTGTCAGTGTGACTCTAGACTGGAAAATGTCGGAGTCAGTGCTATGCTGTTCTACCTTCATCTTCTTCAAACACATCCTCATTTCAGTGCTGCACAGATACAGTGAATAAGTAGGTTAGTGATTTATTCATGACTGTGATTCAGCATGGAAATAGGAAGATATCTCTCTCTGTACCGTTAAATACATCTTTGTGGATTGTCTTTCTGCATTTCTGAAAATTACTGCATACCTTGTGCAAAAGGCATCAGAATGAACAGATACCTAAATTACTTCAGAATATTGACAGACATTTATGTCTTTCACTGCGTAAGAAGTTCCAATGACAAGAGGAATTGATGTGTCTCAATTTGAATCAGGAAAGTGTGCAACAACAGGAAGACAACATCACTTGCATCCACAGCACATGGAAGCAGTGCTGCCTCATAAATACTGAGATCACAGAGTCAGCCATCCATCAGGGAGGGGGCTGGCATGTGCAAGAGACAGATATAAAATCCAGAACACAATCCTGATATGTAGTATCATTTTGTATTATGAAGTGATTCACTATAGCTTACTGCTGTGTTTGTGGTGAGTGTGTGTGAGGGGTGTGCTCCAAGCCACACTGAGAAGCTGTAGCAGGTTTAAAAGCAGAGGTACATAAATTGACACCAGCGAGCATCTTCAGCTAGGTCAGCAGACCTGAGGGGCAGGACTGGTGGGCAGGAACACTTCAAGCTACACACATTTCCCTATGAATGGACAGCCTCGGTTTACACACTTGGGGTGAGTTAGCACTGCCCCCTTGTATATTGCACTCAGCTGGAACAGGCAGTAAGATGCAGTTTTTGTTTTGTAAAAGTGGTCATGTTCTTTGTCTCTTGGCAAAAAAAAAAATCCAAGGTATATTAAATATGTTTTTTAAAAAGCACACTTTCAAATCCAAGAAAATGCAGGTACACTAAATACGTAAACACCATTACTTGCTCACCACTCAAAACTAAATGGAAATGCATAAACCACAGAAAAACTTAAGTAAGTGTCTTTACTCCCAATTCTTCATCACTGTTTTCTACCCCAGCGTCTGTCATCAGGTCAGCAACGCGCTTCTCAAGGTCATTGATGCGCTCGCCCATTTCTTCCAGTAAAAAGTTAAAGATAACTTCTATAAATAAGAGTTCTACATTTTTACAAGTTTTTTCTTCTGTAAGAAGAACAAGCAGCTTTCTTCCAGATGTGTCAGTCTTTTACTTGTCCACGTTTAATGTAAAATGAAGCATGCACAAGGTCGTATTTTAGAATACAATCCCTCATTCTCTTACAACAGATAACAATTCAAATTCTTAGTATCAAAAGCCTTTGCAAATACTCATGAGTGAACTGTGTGAGAGCATGTTTTCTTTCTGAGGAACTCTTAAGTGATACCATACAGGTAACCTACAGAATTAGAATATGAGTGCTACTCAAACATTATTCAGGAAGCAGATGCTTTCTTAAAGGTCAAGTTTCAGAAAAAAAAATTAATAAATGCTTCAGAAAGCAGAGGTAGTTTCTGTAAGCACATGTAATAAGAAAGCTAAGAGCCCCTTCAGGTCTGATTTTCTTCTTTTGAGGGCTCACCTTGTCATGCTCAGGCCAACAGCTGCTTTTAAACCGTGGCTCGTTTGAATTGCATTTTTGGAGATGGATGCTTTTTTAAATGCACCTTTGGAATCTTTACACATAATTCAATGCTTATTTTACTTGAAAGCCAGAATTGCTGCACAGAGACTACAGTGCTACTTGTAGTGAAACACATTTTAGGGTTTCCTTCTTAAAAAAAAGGGATCTATAAGCAGACTGGGGCGGGGGTAAGTCAGGTGCCTGTACGTCACAGGTGTTTACCCCGTCACACATTCTGGGCTAATTTGATGTTTACAAGAGAAGCCCACCCCGCTGTTAGAAGCAAAGAGCCCGCTCGCACCCATCAGCGCGCAGGAGGCCCAACCGCGGGATCCCGAACCCAGCCGCGGCACCCCACGTTCCAAAGAGGATATTTCTCAGCGTCAGCTTCTCCGTCAGAGCCTCAAAATTCTCCTGCAGCCGGCAGAGCAGATTTTCCGCCTGCAGGGGAAGGGGGAAAATGAACACCGGGGAAGCAGGAGGCAGGGCCCCGGCCGCACGGGACCCCGCAGCAGGACACCCGCCCGGCCCCGCTCACCAGCTGCGGCAGCTCCGCGGTTCCCAGCGGCTCCGCGGCCGCCATCGGCTCCGGCTCCGCGGGCGCGGCGGGGCGGGCACAGAGCGCACGGCCCCGCCCGCAGCGCTCCGCGGGCAGTCGGGGAGTCCTTCGCTGTCAATTCTTTATTTGCTGGAGAAAGCGTCCTTCCGCGCGGCAGTAACTGAATAAGGATGCCGAGGTTTGATCTTAAGATGTCTTATAATTTTATTTTTTTCAAAGGTTTGCTTCCTTTTCTCCCGTGCAATTAGTTTTGTGTGAAGGAGTGGTAAAAATACCGTGGTGGTTGAAGTTCCTTGCACTGCAATGCCGAGCGAGATAACATCAAAGGCATCAGCAAGAGTCGCATGGTGCCTCTTGCAGCACCAGCATCTAGGTCATCCCTGGCTTTTGGCTGCACAGTGTAAAAAAGCTCCCAGTGCATCTATTACAGAGGTGTCTTTTTTCTGGATGCTGAGACTGTTGCCTGATGTAAATGAAGAGGTTTTCATTTCACTGTGCCTGTATGGTTAGGAGCATATCACTGTTAGGCAATAAATTACCTTAGTCAATTACTTTGAGTAATTACATATGCTAAATATGCCAAATATGTGTCTTCATGCACAAAAAATTTCTGAGCTGGGAATTACTTCAGTTGCTGTAAGCCTACCACTTAGAATCTTTCGTAATAAACTTAATTGTTCTCCTTCTTGACCTTCCCCGCCTCATTTGAGAGGGCGTGTTAATCTCTGAGGTGAAATTCTGGCATCAAAGCAAACCTCCGCATTGCTACCTGCTTCCCATAATTGTAGCTTCTCTGTACAGCCTTATTTTTTCCCACTCTTGCAGGTAGTCCTTGTTGTAGAAAGAAAAATCAAGCACATTTTGCAAAGCTTGAGTGTCCTAACAGTATTACTGCTCTAGAAAGCTTCTAGATAAACAAGTTGAACAACATTATGCATGTAGATAGGGTTTGCTTTTGTATGTAGCCACTAGCTTCAACCATACAGCCTTTTTGTTCTATTGCATAAGTAATAAGGAACAATTGGTGCTTCTTACCTGTTCATTTGTCGATAATAAATATTCTTTCCTTTAAGGCTAGGTAGTAGTAGTAGCTAGAGCTGTAGTATTTTTGCATTTTTACTTCCGAAAACAGCCATAGTCTTCCTGGTTTTCCCTCCTTCCAGAAGAGCTACAAAAGCTTCTCTGTCATGCAGCAGTATTTTCTCCCAGAGGCAGTAGAAGTGGCTCTGTCTGCTTGTGCCCAGTTATCTTGAACAAAGCCAGAGAGTCCTATTCATAGTGAAGAGCTTGGAAGGATAAAGAAGCAGCTGGAAATGCAGAGGAGCAAGCATTATACAGCCAACCAATTCACAGGGATCTCACTACATCTTTGTAGTGCCACATTTTAGCAATGGCCAGGTTACGGTTCAACTGAAAACAAGCATGACTTGATGAAAGGTTTTCTGTAATTAGCTCCTCATTTTTGTGAGGTAGGTCAGTGTGGTCAAAATAGAAAAAAAAAATATGGTATCCAGCTGGCACAGCAATGAAGGACAGGCAATTAAAAGTGTGAAAGAGACTGAAAAATATTTGCCATGCATTTCCCCCTTCAAAGGTCTGGTTCTTTTACTTTGTGGGCTCAGCAGCTGATGTGAATGGCCCTCTTAGTTCAGATCTGGAGCTGAATGAGGCCAAGAGTGCACAGCTGGGTTTAGGAAATAAAAATGGAAGTGTCTTTAAAGCTAAAAGTAGTCATGGAAAAGTTCCAGACTTCAGAAAGCCTAAGAATAGAAGAGACAAATGACAGGACCAAATAGACTTTGCTTAGCAATGGATTTACTTAGAACTAGCATGCTTGGTTTTACTCTGCTGTCTTCCAGTCTCTTCCTTCTCAGAGGGCTTAGAAGTTCGGAATTGAGCTGTTTGCATACATTTCCAGGGTCTGAAATCTGGGGATGTAAGATGAGCCATAGTTTAAAAGCATAGTCCATGTTGGCCATGCACCCGTGGGCTAAGGGAAGCTGAGCAAAGACCCTTGGGTTTTGTTTTGTTTCAAAAGCAAAGGGCTAGCTGATAACTAGTAAACCACCAGTGCCATAGGAGTATTTAATGCAATAAGAATGCTTAATTTACTAAAAGGATAACAAGTTCATTTTGGCAGTGAGTACAAAAACAGGTCCTGAGGAGGTTTGAGAAAGGAGCAAAAGAGATTTGACAACAAATTCTTTTTCCATTCCAAAATATACTTTATGCTGCTTTCTTTCAGTAAAAAGCTTAGACTTTAGTCACTTTCAGTCTAAATGTCTTTTTAGTATGAAGAACATGAAGTAAAAATAAAATTAGGATGACCTCGAGGCTGAGGTGCCATCTGCTTCCATCCTATTTCAGTGTTGCAGACCTGTGGTGTGAACTCTTCACAGTGTGCGTTGAAATGGTATCCAAAGCATGTTTCCCTTGCTCTTTCCTAGGGAAATTCCAGTCCCTCCACTGCTGGAAGGAGAAGTCAGAGTAGCAGGATAGGACATAAAACCATGTTGAAACATTTATAAGACCTAAGCTCCAAGTTCACTGCCATGCTGTAAAAGGCTGTGGTGTGGTGTGATAGAAGAACTTGTAGAAATTCATTACTCTTGCTCTTTGGATGTTACATAAAGCCTCTTTCCCTCCTCTTTGCTGACAAATAAGATTTTATATACCAGGGGTAAGAAATCCTCTGATCACATAGTCCAAGCGTGTCTGGCTCAGGGTTGCTTTGGAATGGAGGTGAGGCCACAGAGAGGACATCTCAAAGAGAAGCTGAATATTACATGTGTGGTAAGAGAGAAAACAGGAATTTAGTCCTGGAAGGAGACAAGGAGGCAAGTGCTCCTGGGCCAACATGGCAGCTTGTTTGGCAGCAGATCAGAAGGCAGGATGCAAATGGCACTGCAAATTTTGTGGGTTTGCTATTTTTTCTTCCTGGCAGAGGCATGGTCAATACTAAAAGTTTTCTCTGAAGAGAAAAGGGCAAGGCACAAGTTAGTGCTTTCAGCACAATCATGGTATTTTTGCTAACAAATTGTTGTAGTGGGTCTTTGAGTCATGCTCTGCTTGGTCCTTCCCTCTCAGGTAGCTTCTCTTGTGTCAATTTGCAGTAGTGATTCAGAGGGACACAATGTGCAGAAAAAACCATCTGGCTTTGCTAGGTCATCACCTTTATATGCAGCAATCCCAAATGGTGCTGATGGTTCTTGTAGCAAACTTTAACATTTACCCAATCTTTTGATTCAGCATAATGCAGTTCACTGAAAGCTTGCTCCACTGGAGTACTTCCTGGTGAAGGCATTGCTTTTCTTTCATATGGTAACATCAGTAGACCAACAAGTTGTTATTTAAAAGCATGGAAAGCTGTGGTGAGTGAAATGCAAATGCCTCAGGCAGGGGAAAAAGGCATTCGGATCTGTGGTGTCTGACAGCTGGTGTTCCTTTGAAACACAAAGTCATTTGAGGTGAATATTAAAAGCCTGGGTGTTTGCTCATGGTTCAAATTTCAGTTTCTGTATCTTTGAAGAGAAAAGGGTAATTCCAGCCGTTGGAAACCTGATCCCTGATGGAGGTACTCTGCCTTTAATAAAAGTGTTCTGTATAAACTTTTATAAAAGTGTTCTTTAATAAAAGTAATAAAAGTTTTGGAACTGCTGCTCACAAATCCCCTTATTGTGAAATATTTCAGCCAGCCCTTTTTGCAAGTATCTACAAAAAGAAAACTGAAAGGGTTAAGGATAATCTTGATCAGATGTTCAGTGCATGCTGTGGCCATCATGTACTGCTAAATAGCTGTAACAGAACACAGGATATAATTTTCGTTGTAAGCGTATTGCACCGGGATCAATGCAGGAGCAGCAGAAAGGTGACTTTGGAGGCTGGTCTGGTGGGTGGTGGTGCATCCTTTGGCTCTGTGAAGAGCTGTGTGTAATTCACGGCTCTGTGAAGTCACCCGCCCAGCATGTGATCCAGAAATCTCCAGCTATGTTTCCCGGACATGGCTGGTAAGAGATGTTAAAAATAGGTTAGAAACTGTTGTAAAATAGTTGATAGATCGTTAAGCATGTCCTGTTAGTTTGGTTATTATATTGTAAAAGGGGTTAAAAGGGTAGTTATAAGAAATACGGCACTCAACGTACCATAATACACCTAAGTAAAGTGCACTACCCCCAAGCGAAACGAGCCAGCCTTATTATAATGGGCCAATGTAATGGGCCAATCAAGCGCCATAAACCTTCATGCAAATGAAGGATTCAAAAAGAAACCAGTCCAAAGGGACAAAAAACAGGATAAAAAGGGGCTTCTGACCCACTGAATTTGTGCCGCTCCATCTGGGGCGTCGGGGACATCGCTACATCGCTGCTGAAAAGAAGACCCAGCTGCCGGCCTTGCAGCATCCTCGACGGGAGCGCTCCTGCTGCTCGGCCCGCGGGCCACATGCTTTAGGCCTTTCTTTTTCTTGTAATAAAAGCTGAATTCACTTTAGTCTGGGAGCCTGCTCTCGTTTTTATCAAGAGATGTTGCTTCCCATGCTTTTTTCTGCTCCAGCCTTGTTCCATTGTCTTTGGATAGTGAGGGTGAAGGAGTATTCACCACTCAGCTCACCTCCTGAAAGGTGGCAGAAGGGAGCTGGAAGTGTTTGTCTCTGGTGGGAGAGGGAGCAGGGTTTGTTTCTCTGGCCTGGTGGCCTGCTGCTGGCATGCCTGGCACTGCACCTGGGGGCTGTGTTCCAATCACCCCATGGCCTTGCTCCTCACACGTGCACAGAAGAGCTTTCTGGAAGCAAACACAGTGTGTGACAGGTGAGGCTCTGCTGTGAGGGCAGGATGGGCAGCCCCTGCCGCACAAGGACAGGCAGCTGAGCTCACGTGTTCATATCCCACAGCCTGGTGTGGCTCTCTTCAGGGACCTTGTGGTCCAGAGCAGAATGCGCATTTTGTGCACAGATATTAAACATGGCATGTGCTGTGGTGTGTGATGGAAAGAGCATTTTTCTAAAATATTTGATAAAGAGAGCCTGTGCTGAAGAGGCTGGAAGCTGGGCAAAGGAAGGAGTGGCTCATTGGAAAATGCCCA